TTGATTGTTCTTAATTGTAACTCTTTTATATTTTGAAAAATCATAAAGAGTAAATACTATCTAATTATTAAAAAATATTGGGTGGTCATTTAGGAATCATTTGCATATCAAAGGATCTTCCATTAGAAATATATAATATTAACACCGATAGCATTACATTCCATTGATGGAGACACAACCTTGGTTTCTAAATCAAATTAATCAAATCATCTAAACAAAAAAGCTTTTCTCACCAATTCACAATTACAAAACACTGTTTAAACTAACAAAATAGAATTACTGCTTAAGTCAAGTTTCACACTATTTAAGTAACCTTTTCTCACCTATTCCCTATGGGATTCGACCCCAATGTAGTTGGGTTATTATATTTGACATCGACCACCTTACACCATTTATATAGGTGCAATTTGAGCGTATCAAATTTTGGCGCCATTGCCGGGGAATACGATTTTGAAATTACCAACTATTGTGTGCTTTACTTGACGTCTTCTTCTATTCCATCACACTTTGTTTGTTTTGCTTGGTGTCATTAGGTAAACATGGGTGGGCCAGAAGAAGAGAATGTGTTTGCGGATATAGATGAATATATTGAAGATACAAATGCCATTATCCCTCCAAGAGTTGATACTGTCACCTTCAAAGTGGAACACAGTCTAATCCTAATACTAAAAGCAGAGGAGTTCTTCCGAAATTCCACCGACGATGATCCGACAGAACATCTTAGACATTTTATGGGTGTGTGCAATGCACAAGAAGAATCATATCTCGGATGATGCCCTAATGTTGAGGGTGTTCAAGTACTCTCTAACTGGAGAGGCAAGACAGTGGATCCAAAATCTACCTCCTAATTAAATCCACACTTGGCCCAAACTTATCCGAGCTTTCCTAGCAAAATGGTTTCCACAAAGCAAGAAGTCCGAGCCCAAGGATAAAATTTTATTCTTCAAGCAATTACCGTGAGAGAATCTACATGAGACATGGGATAGATTCAAGATATATATGGGGAGGTCGCCGAATCATGGCTTTCCGGATAATATTCTATTGGAGAAGTTTTACATGGGCTTGGATCCTATGAGTCAATTGATAGCTAAACATGCAGCGGATGGATCCTTTATGGACAAAACATTTGCAAGGGTCACACAAATCCTCTACAAGATGGCCGAACATAATCAAGCTTGGTACTCGGAAGATACCACGGGTGGAATTGCATATGGTACTCCCTCCTTGACCAACATGATTAAGGAGAACCAAGAAAGAGATCAAATAATTGCCGGGCTTGCCACAAACTTCAACGTGTTGGTAAAAATGTTCACTCAAAGCCAAACAAAAAGTGTGAATGTTGTGGAAGATGTGCAACCCTTATCGAATGAGGAATACGAAGAAGCAAATTATGTCAACAATTCTCAAGGAGGATATCAAAGACAATCCTACTAAGGTTCAGGACAATAACACCAATGAAGGTCTAACCCTCAAGGGAAAGGCAACCAACAGTGGCGAAACGACCAAGGTGGTTAAAATAAAGGAAATTGGAGCAACAACAACAACAATTTTTCAAAGCAAAGTTCGAACCCCTATATTCCATCTAAGGGGCAATATTCTAACTCTCCACACTGGAAAGAAAGCTCTTCAAGTGATTCCAAGTTGGAAAACATGCTTGAAAGAATATTGCAAAATTAGGAGAGATCCGACGCTTCAGTGAAGAATATGACCAAACTTGTGGGTTCTCACATCGCATCTATTCAAAAGTTGGAGATGCAAATAAGGGATCTCTCAAGAGAAAAAAAACCCGAAACAAAAAGGCACACTCCCAAGTGATACAATTGCAAATCCAAAAGGTAATGTAAGTGGTCCAACCTCTCATTGTATGGAAATCACAACTCAAAGTGGGAAACTACTTCGAGGAGAGAATGAACAAGTGGTCGAAGTAGAAGAGTCTGAACAAACATTCGAGGCACAAGTTGAGGTGCCAAATGTTGTTGAAGTTGAAAGACTCCCGAAGAAGGTGAGAACCTAAGAAGTGAACCGGGAAGAGGTTAAGGAAATAGTAATAGAGTTACCAAGAACTTTAGCACCAATTCCTAGACCTCCTCCTCCTTTCCCTCAAAGACTACCTAGAAATGTTGATAATAGCAAAATCAATAATTTCTATAATATCCTAAAGCAATTATCGGTGAACATTCCATTTGTTGAAGCATTTCAAGAAATGCTAGGTTTCGCTAAGTACTTGAAGGACTCGATCACTAAAAAAACCACCAAGAATGAAGTGGTGAATGACTCACCGGGTTAGTTCCATCATTGCAACAACCGCTGTCTAAAAGGAAGAGGACACGGGAGCCTTCACAAATTCCATGCACGATTGGATTGCGTGATTTGCACAAGCCCTTTGTGATAATGGGGCTAGCATCAACTTAATTACCCTTGCTATTTACAAGCAAGCAGGATTAGGAATGCCTAGGCCTACAAGTATGAGGTTGCAAATGGATGACCGTTCAATAAAGCGACCGATGGGAATAGTTGATGATGTGCTTGTGAAAGTGGGAAACTTTCTCCTCCCTACAGACTTTATTTTTCTCGATTGTGCCATTGATAAATAGATCCATATCATCTCGTGGAGACCATTCCTTGCTGCCGGGAGGGCACTCATTGATTCAGAATGAAATGAGATCAAGTTCCGAGTTAATGACGAAGACGTTACCTTTCAAGCAAGTAAGGGTATGAAATTTCCAGATGCATGTAGGAGTATTTCAGCCATTGATGTTGTTGATGAGGTAGAAGATGCAGTCGAGGTAAATATGGAAGAGGGATGCCTTGGTGAGGCATTGGCAGCTATTTTGGTGAATTGTTATGGTAAGGACATGGAAGGATATGTGGAATTGGTGAATGCGTTGGAAGGGCTTGTGTCCAACACTTATACACCAAAGAATATTTCTCTTGACTTAGAGAATAGAGTCACTCCTCGCGCTAGGCCTTCAATTATCGAGCCACCTCAACTTGAGCTAAAACCACTCCCGCCGCACTTAAGGCAGAAATTTCTTGGCTGTAATGAAACTCTACCCATAATTGTTTTATCTTTGTTGAATGATGTGCAGGTTGAACACTTATTGGATACCTTGAGGAAGCACAAACAGGCCATTGGTTGGGCTATAACAGATATCCGTGGGATTCCCGTTTGAATTTGTGAGCACAAGACATAATTGGAGCAAGAGAGTAAACCTAGTGTGGAACATCAAAGAAGGTTAAATCCTTCTATGCAAGAGGTGGTAAAGATAGAAATCATAAAATGGTTGGATGTCGGGGTTGTCTACCCCATTGGCGATAGTCCTTGGGTAAGTCAGGTGCAATGTGTGCCAAATAAAGGAGGCATGACCATGATGCATAATGACAAAAATGAACTCATCCCAACGAGGACGGTGACCGGGTAGAGAGTTTGCATGGACTACCAGAAGCTCAATAATGCTAAATACAAAGATAATTTCTCTATGCCTTTTATTGATCAAATGCTTGATCGGTTAGCTGGAAGGTCGTTTTATTGATTTTTGAATTGTTATTCCAGCTACAACCAAATTAAAATCGCCTTAGAGGAACAAGAGAAAACGATATTCACATGTCCGTATGGAACCTTTGCTTTTAGCCGGATTCCATTTGGACTATGCAATCCCCCGACTACATTTCAAAGATGCATGACGTAAATTTTCTCAGACATGGTGGAGGATTTATTAGAAGTATTCATGGATGATTCCTCTGTAGTTGGTAATTCCTTTGAGCATTGCCTTGAAAACCTTAGGCAAGTGGTCAAAAGATGCGAGGAAATAAACCTTGTGCTCAATTGGAAAAACATGCCATTTCATGGTGGATAAGGGTGTTCTTCTTGGCCACAAAATCTCCAAGCAAGGCATAGAGGTTGATTGGGCAAAGATCGATATCATTTCCAAGCTAACTTCTCCCTATTCGGTAAAAGGCGTTCGGAGTTTTTTGGGGCATGCCGAGTTTTATAGGCGATTTATCAAGGATTGCTAAAAAAAATTAAGTCCAATGTGCAAGCTCCTTGAAAAAGATGCTAAGTTTGAGTTCGATGAGAAGTGCTTAAAAGCTTTTGAGGAGTTTAAAGCAAGGCTCACAACAACACTAATTATTTTCACACCCGATTGGTCTTTTCCATTTGAACTTATGTGTGATGCCAGTGGTATGGCTATTGGAGCAGTGCTTGGTCAACGACATAACAAGATTCTTCATCCTGTCTACTACGTAAGCAAGACACTAAATGGCGCACAACTGAATTACACTGTAACTGAGCAAGAGCTGCTTGATATTGTTTATGCTTTTGAAAAGTTTCGGGCCTACTTGCTGGGATCCAATGTGATAGTCTTCACCGATCATGTTGATTTCTACTACCTTATGTCGAAGAAGGATGATAAACTAAGATTGATTAGGTGGGTTCTTTTATTACAAGAGTTTGACTTTGAAGTCAAAGATAGAAAAGGAACAAAGAATCAAGTTGTGGATCACTTAACTAGGCTTGAAGAGGCAGGAAGACCAATAGAAGATCTTCAAATTAATGATACCTTCCCAGATGAAAACTTATTGGCAATATCTAGAACCTCCACTCCTTGGTATGCCGACATCGCTAACTTCTTGGTTAGTGACCTTATCCCTAACGGATTGGAAACTTATTAAAAGAAAATGTTCTTGCTGGAATGTAGGCAATACTATTGGGAGGAACCCTTTTTGTTTCAGATTTGCATCGATAACATAATTCGGCATTGTGTTCCAGAAGATGAGATACTTCAAATTCTCAAAGTGTATCATGACTCCCTAGTTGGAGGTCACCACGTTGGAAATCGTAAAAAGATGGAAACCATATGGTCAAGGCATGTGACCAATGTCAAAGACAAGGGTCAATAGATAGAAGGCATGAGATGACTATGAACTTTGTGATGGAGGTCGAGATCTTTGATGTGTGGGGGATAGATTTCATGGGTCTCTTCATAAGCTGACACGACATGGCATATATCTTTGTGGAAGTAGATTATGTCTCCAAATGGGTCAAGAAAATTGCTTTGCCAAACAATGATGCAAGAAGTGTAACCGTCTTCTTGAAGAAGAACATATTTACTCGGTTTGGCACCCCAAGAGCCATCATTAGTGATGGTGTCTCTCACTTTTGCAACAAAGCTTTTGTCGGGCTACTAAAAAGATATGAAGTTAAGCACAAGGTGGACAGCCCTTATCATACCTTAGTCAAGCGGTCAAGTTGAAGTCTCCAACTAGGAGATCAAAGCCATTCTAGCAAAAACTGTTATTGTAAACAGGACCGACTGGTCAAAGAAGCTAGATGATGCACTGTGGGCCTATCTAATGGCATTTAAGACACCCATTGGCACCTCACCTTACCGATTAGTTTTTGGTAAGGCTTGTCACCTGCCAGTGGAACTTGAAAACAAAGCCATGTGGGCATTGAAAACGTTAAATCTTCACTGGACCAAAACTACTGATCTAAGGATGATACAACTCAACGAGATGGAAGAGTTCTGTTTCCTTGCCTATGAGAATGCAACCATGTATAAAGAAAGAATGAAGTTTGTTCATGAAAAGAAGATTTTGAAGCGGGAATTCAAATCTGGTGACTTGGTCTTACTCTTTAACTCAAGATTGAAGTTCTTTCCAGGCAAATTCAAATCCAAATGGTCGGTGCAGTTCAAAGTTGTGAGTGTGTCTTCCTATGGTTCTATTGAATTAGAATCCGAGGACGGGACTCGAACTTTCAAAGTAAATGTCCAAAAGGTCAAACACTACCTCGGAACCAATAGAGAAAGGCAACTAGTAGAATAATTTGCACTCAAGGATAGTCCTGTACTAATCCCCACCACTGATTAGCCAAAATAAGGGCAACATCTTTGTGCCGCAATGTTAAATCAAGCGCTTCTTGGGAGGCAACCCAAAATTTGGTAACATTATTTTTTTAGAATTTAATTTTGGTAGGTTTATTTGTAAGTGTTGGACAGTTTGACGTGTGTATTAGAATGTAGGCTACCCAAAATACAAAGAGATAGGATGCAAAGGCAGAGGAAAAATAAAGGATAGAAAGCTGAGCTTCAGCTGTTGTTCTGCGGCAACATATGCGACCGCATAGAAAGTTTGCGGACAGCATAATGCTCGCAAACACAAACAGAACACCAATCAAATTGTGTCTTAAATATGCAGAGGAAATTCAACTTTCACGGCTCGCATAATCATTCTGCCTCCACATAATGGGTCGCACATGTGTTGCATACCACCCAGGTATTAATCCATCGCAAAACAGATATGCGGCAGCATATTATGTTATGCGATGGCCATTTAGCCGCAAACCCACAGGTAATGAAACCTAATTCTTTCTCTCTCTCCCTTCTATCTATCTTCTCTAACCTCACGCATATAGACACAAAATAAAACACAAAAGAAAACACATTGAGCAATATAACAAGAAATTGAAAAGAAAGGTTCACCTTGCTCGCGATTTACACCAACTTAGCTTTCTCAATCGTCTGACATCTGGTACGTAAATTTCCAACATTTCTCCTACTCAGTTTAAGTAAAGATTATTGTGTGATTTCACTCACTTCATTCTCCCACATCATCTATGATACCCGTATCTATTTCCACATCTTTTTATCTCTTGAATAGGGAATCAACTTTGGGGGAACGTATATGCTGTGGGTAAATAAAATTTTTAACGGTTAGTGTTAGGGGTACTAATTTGAGGGTTGGGGATTGGTAACTTGTAAAAATGAATTGGCATTACAAATTGTTAGGCTAAGCATGAATCGACCCCAGGTTGAGTGTGTAATGGTCTATCACGAGTTGTGCTTTAGCTAATTAGTGTTGCATATAATATTGCATGTGAGTGAAATTTCATGGAGAAGATGATCTCTGCAGTCTGCATAACTGATTTGCAGTCCGCAAAATTATCGCATATTTGGGTATTATGGAAACAACTATATTGATGAGTCTGCAGCCGCAGAACTGGTTTGCGGACCGCATAATGGTCGTAGAATTAGGCATACCAATCCGTGGTCGCATATTTATTCTGCGACCACTTTTGCGGCCTGCATAAGTGTTTTTGCTACGGATAAGTCATGTTATGCCTTATGGTTTGCGGTCTACAAAATTAATATTCTATCGCATACAGGCTCGCAAAACATACATATATATATATATATATAATATANTGCATCTATAAGCCTACAATCACAGCAAACCCAACGAACACGACCTGGCACACCTACAACTTCATCATAGCATACCTCCCAGTCTGAAGATGAGGAGGCACAGCTTGACCTTGTGCCACCAGTTGACCTCTAGGCCGAAGCACACAGTAAGAGTGGTGAGGATCTCAGTTTCAGGATCACTAGCTCGTGGACTTTGTATAGATATGGCTTGGCAAAAAGAAATATCATCGAAGAAAATGAACTGAGTTTAAACGGTGTTAAAAACTAATACCCCCATGTGTTAGAAAACATTCAAAAGAAGGGATGGGAGTTCTTTACTAAGGTTCAGGGGAATACAACGAAACCCTTGTTAAGGAATTTTATGTTGCATATGCTGTATCCAGGAACTTTGAACAAAAGATAAATCATAGATACTTGACCTATGTTTTAGTCTGAGAAGTTGAAATATTCTGCGATGCCGAATCCATCAATAATGTATATTTCGAAGAGTGAGAGCCAGGTATGGCAGAATTTAATGCAACATTTTCAAATAAGGAATCAGAGCATGCTTGGGTAGCCTCTGTTATAGCCAAGTAAACTCCACCCTGGATTGCACCGCGCCAAAAGATTCACTAGAGAGATTTAACCCAAGAAGTGTCACGACCCAAAATCTAACCATGGTCGTGATGGCTCTTATCGTGTTACAAGGCAAGCCTATTTTCCAAAATATTACTACTAAATCGATTATAAGAATTTAATAAAAAAATACCAATTTTTGAATTTCTCATAAACTAAATCAACTCTAAATATAATATAGAAAATACGAAAACGAGCCCCAAACATCGGGGTGTCACTAAGTCATGAGCGTCTAAAACTATGAACTAGGATATATAACTGTCTAACTGTCAATACAGTCTCACAAGAAGAAATGATAAAAGGAGTAACAAGGTCCTGCGGATGCTAACAGCTACCTTGCAGTCTCCAAAATTAGCCGGCCTGAACTCAACGATCGCTGCCCTCTAACTCACCTCGATCTACACATAAAGTGCAGGGTATAGTATGAGTACAACCGACTCAGTAGTAATAGAAATAATTAAAGAATTGAGCAGTAGTGACGAGCTAAGAAGAATAATCCAATTATTATTTCCATAATTAAGTACAAACAGGAGTAGACAGGTAATTTGATAAATCAGTAAGAATACAAGGAAAATTAATAGGTAAATACAGAAATAACAAAAGTAAATGCAACCTCACAGCAATGTCACTCCATCACTTGCACTCAATACTCAACGCTCAACACTCTGCGCTCGCTGGGGGTGTGTACGGATTTCGGAAGGGCTCCCAAAGCCCAAGCGCTAAGTACGGATAACTCACGTGCCATCATATCAATATCTGGATCCGCACGGTCAACTCCCGTGCTACGCGGACAACTCACACGCTATGGTATCAATACCTGGACCCGCACGGTCAACTCATATGCTACGCGGACAACTCACGTGCTACGGTATTAATATCCTCACAACCAGGACCTCGGCCTCACTCAATCATGTACCTCACTAGCCTTACCATCATCAAAAAATAAGGGAACACATCCCACATCAAGTATCACAGCATATTAGCAAATAATAGAGACTGAGGTAAACATGTACAATAATTTCTATGACTGAGTACAAATAATGTGAGCATGAATAAAGCCTAAACATGATCTCTAACATGAAGGCAGACAAGTTCAACAACAAGTAACTACGTAAACACAGATGATGGCCATGAGGCCTTACGGGATGGACCAAGTCTGAATCCCTCGAGGTATACACCCACACGCCTATCACTTAGCATGTGTATCACCTCCAAACAGTCACACGATATCAAATTCTCCGGGTTTATACCCTCAAAGCCAGAGTTAACTGTTACATACCTTAACAGCGTAAAATCCTATTCCGGGATGCCCTCGTCTCTGGAATCGGTCTCCAAAAGCTCTGAATCTAATAAAAAATCAGAATACTACTATCAACATAGTCTAAAGAATCAAATTCGACAATAAAAACTACATAAATATGCCAAAAATCCGAAATCGGCCAAAACCCGGTCCCTGGGCCCATGTCTCGAAATCAGTCAAAAATGGTAGAATACTAAACCTCGTCCTCTCCCGAGTCTAACCATATAAAATTTATTAAAATTGGACTTCGTTTGGTCCCTCAAATCCACACTTAAACTCTCCAAAACTCAAACCCTAACTCCCTCAATTTTACTTTGAAATCATCAATCAAATCCCAAAAACGAAGATGGATTCATGAAATATAACCAAAACTGAGTAGAGAACACTTACCCCAATCCTTATGGTGAAAATCGCCCAAATCCGAGCTCCCCAACTCAAAATATGACCGAATGAACAAACCCTCATTTTATATATTTTTCTGCCATCTATTCTACCTCGTTTCTCATGCTAAATGATCTCGAAACTCGCTTTTTATGCCTCTAATGGATTCCTTGTGAAAGTTTAGTCAAGTTAGGCTTTTGAATCACTTCATATGACCTTATAATGAAGGAGATATGTAGGTTTTAATTTGCAAATAGTTCAGATTTTTAAATACGAATTCAGTGGCAATTTTTTAATTAATCTGAAAAATCTGGCAACCCAAATTTTTAGTAAAATAACCATAAATTCCTCATACGATTCCCAAATTTGACGATTCTTTTTTTTTTTCTATGGCTCCGTAATTACGATACGGATCCAATGCTTCAATTAAAACAGAAATCGGAGCTTATTTGCTTAATGTGGTACCATTTATGCTTGAAGAAATGACGTCGAAACATAAGAAAAATGAGCACAACGCAGCCCAAACCTATCCGAAACTCACCTGAGCACCTCGCAACCTCAACCAATAATTCCCACAAGTCATATATCACTACCCGAACTTAGTCGATCCTTCAGAACACCCAAAACAACACCAAAATACCGAATCAACCTCGGATTCAAGCCTAAGAACTTCTAAACTTCCAAAATTTCCCAACGACGCCGAAACCTATCAAACCACGTCCGAATAACCTCAAATTTTGCACACACGTCCCAAATTACACTATGAACCTATTCCAACTTCCGGAATTTCATCCCGACCATGATACCTAATTTTTCACTGCTGACCAAAATCGCCAAATTTCTAACTTTCGCCAATTCAAGCCTACTTATACCACGGACCTCCAAATTACATTTCGGACACACTCCTAAGCCAAAAATCACCCAACAAAGCTAGCCGAAATATAAAAATCTAAATCCAAATTCGTTTACTTATAAGTCAACTTTCGGTTGACTTTTTCTAATTTGGCTTTCTAAATAAGAGACTAAGTGTTCATTTCACTCCAAAAACTACTCCGAACCCAAACTTACCAACTCGATATAACTCAACACAGCTGAATAACACTATAAGAAGTAGAAATAGGGGAAAGGGGCTATAACTCTGAGAATGAACCACCGGGTCGTTACAAGAAGGCCGGTATTGGCTAAGTTTTATCTGTTCTCGTATAATGCCTATGAGAAATAAGACCGACATAAATATTGAGAAGGCGATCCACATTGCGTTCATCATGTCAGGTATCAAGATTGATGCGGGAGAGCTTATATTCCCTGAAATTGGGGTCCTGGCA